CTTCTTGTTTTCTTCACAGTGTTCCTGGCTGTGGGCTGGGTAGGGGAGGAGTCTGCCAGCTCCTCACGGGAGGGAGCCGGTGTGTTAAGTGGGAGCCAGGGAGTGAGAAAGAGGGCCACAGAGGAAGAGAAGGTACCCACGCCTGCGTGCCTGTCCGTAGGCAGGCTTGGGCACAGACTTGTGGGTGGGCTGCTGGCCTGGCTGCCAGTAGGAGCGAGCAGAGGGAGCCAGAAGGAGGGAGCAAGAAAACCACGGAGGGGAGAGAGAGCACTCAGCCGGAACAGAGGAAGGAGAAAATCCACGAGGGACAAGTGCAAGGCATCTGATCCAAGGATACCCCTTGAAAGGAAGGAGAGTGACAATCCTAAGTGGAGGGAGAGCAAGAAAACTCTGAGGGGGAAAGTAGGAGCAAAGCGGGGGGGAGGGGGGGGGGGCGGAGAAAATACCCCCGGGAAAAGAAAATACTCTGCTGGAAGAAGGGAACAAGAAAATCCCACAGGGAGGAGTGTGGGGCAGGGGACTGCCTGAGGAGCACAGAGCCAGAGAGCACAGCAAGGGAAGGAAAGGAGGAAACGGAGCGAGATTAAACCGGTCTGGAGTTTCGACGCAGTTCCCTCTCCCCTCCTCCGCTGGGGGCAACTTCACAGAAGAGGGGAACGAGTAAACAAGTTGGAGGGACGAGTGTACAGATTGGAGACCAGGAAGGGAGAAGGGGCTGATTCCGAACCAGCCGGCTCAGCACCAGGGCACCAGGGGATTAGACCAGAGCACCTAGGACTCGGGCTGGCTGGAAGGATTGGTCCACGGGTGCAAGCCAGCCTGAACCGGACTGATTCTATTGACCCAGTGCTAAGACCCGAGAGGCAGAGCCCTGCCAGGGTCTGAGGCCCAGAGCCCAGAAGCTGCCCCCCAGTCCAGAACCAACGAGCCGAAGCAGCCCCAGTGTCCCAGAAGCCTCAGCACTGCTCAGCCCCAGTGTGGTCCAGGTCCACCCACCATGGAGGATGGGGCACGGCGCCGAAGCGGTTCCGAGAAGGGCCCAGATGGGCCAGAGGAGCCTGCAGGGGATGCTGTAGCCCTCAAGAAGGAGATTGGTCTGGTCAGCGCCTGTGGCATCATTGTGGGTGAGTTGGGAGCCATGGGGACCCCACAAAAGGGTCCCTCGGTCCGCCTGCCCGGCTAGACCTCCCCCCTTTTCCCCACTTTTTCTCTCCTTTCCTCCTATCCCTCCATCTTTTTCCTCCATCTCTCTCTTCTCCCCCTCCCTCGTTCCCTCTCTTTGCCTGCCTCTATAAATAGCCCCGAGCTGTCACCTTGGTTTCCCCGATCCGATTAGAGCTGGATCCCCCCTCCCCTGCTTGCCACTGCTCCACGCGGTCCCAGTGCCGCCATGCCCCTCACCCCAACCAGTATGAACAGCCCCAGTGCAGCCCACCCCAGAGCCAGCCGCACTGGAGACCTCCCTGGCTTTGTAGAAGTAACTCTGTGCCATGTGCTCTACCCCAGAGCCAGCTGTATCTTGGTCCCCCCTGCTCTTATCCCGGTACAACCAGCCACACAGTGTCCCACCCCAGAGTTGGTTGCATCTCAGTGCCAGGTATAGGTTCCTCCTTTGCATTCCACCCCAGAGCCAGCTGCATCTCGGCCCTGGACAAAGGGCCTCTGTCTAACCAACCCCACAAAGCATCCCACCCTGGAGTTGGCTGCATCTCGGTGCAGGGTCAAGGACCCTGCTATAACCAGCTCTTTCCCCCTGACCTGCACCCCAGAGTCAGCCACATCTCAGCCCTGGGGCAAGGGGTCCCTGTCCAAACAGCCAGGCAGGCTGAGATGGAGTGTCTGGGTTTTCCGCTCGGATGCAAGCAGAGCCCTGGAGCGTGAATGAACCTCGGCTCCCTTAATCCGGCTCCAGATGGCCCCGCTCAGCAGGTGCCAGGGAACGCCAGGGGGTGGGGGGGCCAGGGGGCACCAAGAGCTAGGCAGAGCCCCCTGCTCCCTCCCTTGGTGCCATGCAGTGCCCTATCCCCCAATCCTGTTGGTGCCCCTCACTCCTGGCCCATCCCCCCATACCCTACCAGTCCCCCTCACTCCTGACCTGCAGTCTCCTGCCCCTCCACCCCTATGCCTTTTGCCCCAGAGGTCGGAGTCCCTCTCCAGAGCCCTGTTTATTAGGAAGACGTGGTAACCCTGATAAGATGGCAGGGAAAGGGCCCTCTGCCAAGCTCCCTTGCCCTGGGATGCCCCCTCTAGGGGGTGCCAGGCCCCTCACCAACTCCCCTTATGGGTGGAGGAGGGTATGAGGCCAAGTCTATCTATGCCTCACGTGTAGGGGGGCAGACATCAGAACTGACGTACATCCCCTTCTCTCCTGGTTCTGATGCTTCTTGGGTTGCCGTGGTGACGGCTAAGGGGCTGGTTGCTAACAAAGGGGCTGGTTCCCTTTCTAGTACTTCCCCTAGCACAGGGACCCCTCATCCCTGCCCCTCCACCCACACAGGCCTCCCCAGCTCCCAGTCACTCTCCACACCCTCTGCCTTGGCTCCTACCAGCTGCTGCAGCATTTTAAATTGCTAATGAAACCCCAGAGCCAAGTCACCCTCCAAGAAAAGCCAGAGAGCAAGAGGATGGAAGGAGGGCACGTGAGGTCACAGCCAACCAGACATCATTAAGTTCCAGAGTTATCACCATCCTGAGATGCATGGAGCAGATGACAGCCCACCCCCCCAATCTACGCTACCCCTCATCCCCATCTCTCCCCTTGCCCCTCCACAGGTAACATCATTGGCTCAGGGATCTTCGTCTCGCCCAAGGGCGTGCTGGAGAATGCTGGCTCCGTGGGGCTGGCCCTGGTGGTCTGGATTGTCACGGGGCTTATCACCGCGGTAGGGGCGCTATGCTATGCCGAGCTGGGTGTCACCATCCCCAAGTCTGGCGGTGACTACTCCTATGTCAAGGACATCTTTGGAGGCCTGGCTGGGTGAGTGGGGGGGGAGGGGGAATGCCCCCATCACCCCCAACCCCTCCCTGTGCCTGTGGGTGGAATCAGGGGGTCTGTGTTGGGGGGAAACTACACCCCTGACTCCCCAGGCCCTCCCCACCTCCTATGGGAGCATTTGAGGGGCGGGCGGG